TATACCATATTTTTGTATGATTTATTGCAAGTCATCAATTGGATATTAAAATTTTATGTTAATTTTAAGTTTCTAACTTATATTAGAGATACTAAATTCCAACTTCATAAAGAAATAGCAAGGATAGTCAGGGTCAAATTCTTAAGCTGCCTAACTTCCATAAGGGCACATACATTATCCATCATTTTTAAATTATAATCCTTATTAGCAACTTAAACAATTCTTATTTGAAGGTCCATTGCATATATTACAATTTGAAAAGCAATCCATACATTATTTTTTTTAATTATCAAAATATTATCTTAAAGGACATTATAGACAATTTTCTTAATTAATATTTGGGTCTTCATAAAAACCATCTTAGCAAATACAATTTGGTGGATTAATTCTATTACCTCTACAAGTTTCGCAATTCTATGAGGTAAAAGAGCATGTTTTACATCTAAAATCACATTTCAAAGGCCTGCATGTATTTTTAATACTCTCTGTTTAGGTATTTTCAAAGTAAGCTTATTTACATCTACAAGTAGGTGGAAACTCTCTATCTATACTACATACAGTACAAGTACTGCTATTCTCGGCACACTAACTACATTATGGATCACAAACTATTTTTTTTTTAATTTTAATTAAAATATAATAACTTATTCTCTTTTAAACCTATATGATAAATATTTAATATTAAAAAGAAAGACATTTTTGAAGTGTTAATAAATTAAAAATTAAAGTGGGTGGTTTTAAATTACATTCGCAAGTATAATCTGATTTCATAAACTAATTTGAATACAAGCAAGAACAACTTGGAATTTATAGACTTTAATCTTTACAAATCGTACAATTATCAGCAGTTCCAGAACAAGTCAAACATTTAGGAGAACATTCTATAAATTAAATTAAAATATTATTTTTTTCAATAATCCATTAATGTAAAAGTTTTTTCTAATATATTTAATAGATATTTTTTTATTTACATAAGCATCTCTTTTCTTAAGCGTTTAAGTAATATCCATCTTAGCATATACAATTATTGCTAGCACTCATACTTTCATTTTAGCATAAAGTACATTACTTTATATTATCATAATTTATTTCCAGACAATATGGTATAACATTTTGAGAATCTTGGCATCTCGTTACAAATGGATTATTATAGAGTACAGTTTAATAAGGCTGTCTTCCATAATTACACTGATTTTATAAAATAGCCTTTCCATCTTTTAAAGTATATCCTTGTTTTAGCATTGCGCATTCCATATTAACTTTTGTTACATATATAAAGCAAGGATCATTTAGGTCATAATCAAGATAAAAAAATCCACCAGAATAGATTTTAAAACTATTAAAATAAAATATATTTTAAAAAGGCCCAATTTATGCTTTGCCTATTTATATTTACGAACTTAGACTCAAAAATTATGTAAATACCTATTAGGAAAAATATAATTCTTCATATTTGTAGTTTACCACAACATGAAACTTAGAATTTGAAGTGTCTGCAGTAAATTGAATAACTTTTTTAAAAATAATATTTGTTTTTAAATTAATATTGCTATTTTTAATCTTACATATTTAATTGATTTCATTTATTTTTATTGATATATATTTCATCGTTTTGCATAGATAATTTAAACAAATTTACAACTTAGCTCTGCTTGATAAAGAGTTTCCTTAATAAATTTTCAGAGCTATTACTTAAGCATCTACCTAATCGAGTATTTAAAAAAAGGTGTACCCATTATAAAAAAGATCATTTTTGATTGGGTAAATCATAAACTTAAAAGCAAATTGTGGCATTAAATTAATTAATATTCTTGATTATGAATTATTATCAATAAGAATTCCTTTAAGTTAGTTAAATCCAATATTTAAAGTATTAAATATAATTTATTTTGTAGAATCTAATATATTTTATATAGTTAATTATGTCTAAAAGAGGAGAGAATTATAGTCACTAAAGTTAAATTCTAACATAACTATCATTTGAGGAAAGCTCATATAATGCAGAGCTTGAGGATATAAATTCATAGTATAGTCTCCTTTTGTTTTTGAAAGAAAATTAATTTATTAAATTTTAAAAATAATTATTACCATATAAAATGAAAATATTTTATAATAGACTACCACATAAGGGATAGTTTGTTGATTTATAAAAAGAAATTACACCTCCTACATATAATTCTGGATCTATAAGTTTGCCTAAACCTTATGATCTAACTTAATAAAATGATAATTGAGCGCTTTATTGCTTTATTATTAAATTGAAATTAGAAAGATCTGTATACAGTCCAATCCATATTTCTAAATTATATCCTATAATAGCTTACAGTATTAACTCGTTTCCTGAAAAAAGTTGTAAATTAATGCTGT